AATTTCCTGAGGTTTTAATGAGAAGCCGTAACAAGTGGAGTTTATCTGTGTCTGTTGTGAGGAAGTTACTCACTGAAGACAGTGGTGGACGGTTACGTAACATCGTGGGATAGTTGATGCTAGATACTGACACCGTTGGATGCCGGCCCAACAGTTAGGTGTTCGTGCGCGAGATCCGAGGTCTTGGGTTCGAATCTCATGTATGAGATTGTGAATGCACACTTCTGAAGAGTTTTGTGCAAGGAATTCCAGGTTTTCAATTGCGGTCTAACATTGATCCATTCACAATTCAATTTTACAAATTAGTCAATATAAATGAGTTGGGGAAATGAGTGTTGGTAGAAAAAATTGCCCGCTACAAATCTAACTTTTTTAGTATAATCTATATGATCAAAATCTATTCGACATTTGACGCCGTATGCTAGTTATAACAAAAGAAATAACAATAAGTTCACAAATTTAGTGATGAATTCGGTGCATTTCCATTATTGTTGAAATTGCGAGTTCAGTTTTAATGAGGTTGATGAATATCAAAAAATAATAATGAAATAGGCCCACTAATCACGGTATACAATATTGTTAATATTTAATAAGTATATTGAATATACGTTATAATTAATAAAAGAAACATTCCGTAGACGATACTACGGAGTGTTCTCCAATATACGGAGAATTATTGGTTTCACCTCATATAGGATTTCAGCTGTCTAAATCTAAGTAATCTTGAACCAGGAAAAAGCAAATACCATGTTCCCAGTAATTTTCTAGATTATACTGATATATTTACTAAACGGTTTGCTGTTTTATCACCAATATTACAGTATATTACATAGAATTCATGAGAACATCAAACAGCTTGTCTGAATATCACTCACTAAAAACTGATGAAAATAGCTTAATTTTTGTACAGGATTCTGTAAAGATTGTTAAATATGAATGGGATCGTAAACCAGTCTCAGATAGCTAAAGAAACCTGGGAGCAAGGATTGGCAAAACAAGTGCAGGATTCCTACACTAGAAGAACATATGAAACTCAAAACAACAATCAACCAATATCAAAGTCACAATCTTCAATATGAACGTCAAGACAGGTCTAATGTACGGAGCTGAAACTTGGATAACAAACACACAACCATCATCAAGAACGTAGTAATATTTATAAACAGTTGTCTACACAAGATACTTAATGTCCGTTGGCCGGATACCATCAGGAGCAGCTTACTGTGGCAGAGAACAAACCAGCTTTCATGTGAAAAAGAAATTACGAAAACGGGTTGGAGGTAGATAGGACATACATTGTAGTAATCACCAAACTGCTTCACGAGGTAAGTGCTAACTTTGAATCCTGAAGGGAATCGTAAAAAAAGGAAGACCAATGAACACACTGCTTTGGGAATTGAAAGCAGACATCAAGAGAATGAACAGTAACTTCATACAACTGGAAAGTATTGCTTAAGACAAAGTTGGGTAGTGAGTGATAGTTGGCGGCCTATATTTCTGCACGACGGATAACAGGAATAAATGAGTAAGTAAGGGACTTCCACAAACCTACCAGGGGTTCAATCAATCGGTTTCATATCTCACGATAAGCAATTATCCCTTAGACCACAGGCCTCATTAGTAACTAATTTCAGTAGTTCTAGTGAAAAGCTGTAACCACTGTGAACTTCAAACTAGAAGCGTTTATCCACGAGAGATAAAGCAAGATGGTTCTGGAATATTGAAAATTGACAGTAGTCTAAAGGTGAAGGGTTGGTTTAAAGATCTCAAGATGTTAATTTGGATGTTTTGTAGAATCAAGGATACGCAATGTTGAAGATCCCGACATTTAAACGAAACAAAAATCTTATGTTTCCTAGTTTTCATTAGTTGTCTGACTAAAGTCGGTTTGTGACTTCAGTTTTATTTTAAACGAATGGCATTTAAACTCCTAATGAATTTACAATAAAATAATTAGCTACTACTTTATTTGGCATTGATAAAAGTTTATTTTTGGTTACAACTTTTGACAATAATCTCTATGATTTTTTTTATTGTATTAGGTTTCTTATTTATCTGTTGACAATAATTTATATGAATTATCAATATGTTTGTTTGGCAATCAAATGAACAGGTTAAATCTGTCGAGACTATCATTCTTTTTCTTTGAAGATAATTTACATGATAGTAGCTTCATTATGCATTCTTTTCTATGTCATGTCTACAATAAAATATGAAACAACGTTTGTACAAGATTTGGCCAAATGTGGCTGTGAAATGGTGGAGAAGATTTGTAGCTCAGGTGGATGATTTTGATGGAGTTTTGTTCTCTGAGATGGATGGTTTGGTCGTGGAGCTTTCATCGTTCTTCTGAACGACATCATCAGCACAAGCTTCACTTCTATCGGTTCAGAAGAACGATGAAAGCTCCACGACCAAACCACCTAGCTCAGAGAACAAAACCCCACCAAATGTGGCTGTGAATGTGAGAGATAGCCATTAATAGACAGGGAATAATTCAAAAATGGTAAATCGTATAATAACAGTTCATAGGTCAAAATGAAGCTCATAATAAGAGGGACGTGAATATGAATAGTTTGATTATTTACCAATTATACGATAAAAATAGTATTGATCCACAAATGGATCCCAAAATTTACCATTCATTATGCTTATCGGGATATAACAGGTTCATAGAATTTTACAATCAAATAGACCAATAACACATTATATATGTATATAATGGATAGAATTTAGTTTACTAGTTAAATGTGAATAGATTTCATTAATAATGATTCATTATTTGATAAAAATGAGTCACATTCAACTTTTCTTTCTAATGATTCTAACCAACAACCACAACAACAACATAAAACGATGTTACGCCATCGGGACTGCGTGACTGATTTAATTATGTTCATACATTGTACATAATATATTCATCATTATATTTGAATTGTAATTCACATGTATACAAGTAGTGGTAATCTAAAATTCTATTCGAGAGTGACCTTGTAATTTTTTTTTAAAAAAAAAGTTACACATTATTATGACTATAATTAGAGATATAATGAACTTTTGAAGCCTGAGGGTGAAATGTGTATAGAAGGTATAAACAAAGATTAGTTGAGTTCATTTAATTCTCTACATTATTATATACATCATTTTCATTTTAACAAAAACTAACAATGTAATTCCCAAATGTATAAAAGAAATACTAATGAAGTTAGATGCATGTTTCTTTCTTTATTTCTTTCAAGTATAGAATTCCTTTATTACTATGATTATCATCATCATCTTTATTATTGACCAGAATAGTCTTTAGACATTACTGTAAATGTTTGAATTTAATGATCAATATGATTAACATTTGTGTTAAGTTATGCAATTACAGAAAAGACACCAAAAAAAAAACAACAACGAGGAAATACATTTGTTACCAGTACAATATGATGGAAAGATTGGTTCATATTTAAATAGTCTGTAAATATGAATGATAGATGAATATTATCAATTATGATGTTGAAATGAAAGGATTTATTCGGATCTCTTTGGACAACTATTCATTACTAGAAATCGCATTTAACTATAAAATTGAATAAATTTATTGATTAGTTCTAAAAAGTAAGAAATCTAGGTTTAGTTTTCATTCAGTCAGTTAACTGTGATCACAGATGTCTTCGAAGTATTGATCTTATATCCTGGGAAACTTCATCAGTTGAGATGACTGGGACATGTGCTACGTATGTCCAACCACTGATTGCCCAGACGTGAGATATTTTATGGTGTAGGAGTAGATTGGAAGAAAACTAGGGGTGGCCAGACCAAAACATGGCACAAATCCATGAAGCCATTCACAGGTGAACTGAACCATGTTGGTAGGTGTAAATTAACTGGTTCCGGGGTTCCGTGAGATCATAGCAACCGATGATTAGAGACCTTGAATAACATCACTCAAAATCGTTTGCAATGACGTAGGTGCATCCACTATTTATGTTCTACCAAATTCTAATCTTCTGAATTCTTCATGTCCCCATTTTTTTCCTCTTTCCAAATTTATTTCACTGGATTATACTCATTGAGTAACATCTTTAAACCCTAATGTTTATTACTACTTATTATTTTACTACCTCTACCACTATGAGATTTGAATGGACAATTGTATCTGTGTGCTAATGTGGTATGGCAACTCGAACTGACGTACGTACTTACGAACTTCTATGTTGTTGCTGACTGATTGACTGAGTTAACTGCGATATTGGAGTCATTCAACTTTAGTGACATGTTCAAATAACACAATGAAGCGAGTAGCACGATAGTGTAGACTATATAATTTTGCGAAGAAATTTGTCGGTTCACTGGCAACAGATAATTTAGTGCAATCCGATGGAAATGATTGGAATTGAAATGAACTAAATTTGTTCGACTTCTTTTCTTTTTTGCGTAAAAACTCAATAGAAAGACTTAAAATGAGTATAAATGGAGTAGTTAGTGAAGTAGTTAAATACAAATGGTGTTTGACATTCAGATATTAAGTCACAAGTTCAATTTTTTTCTCATCTATTTCGGTTCGGGGAACTGGGTGGCAACACTAGCACTCTTGCTAAAAATGTCTCGAAGCCAAGTAAGCAAATCACTGCAAGATAATATGTTGTTAATGGTAACAAGCAGTAATTTCCGTAAGAAAATGTGATCCGTCAGGTCCCAGCTTAGTGACGCAGTTGTTTTTTTTTTACCGATTTTTCACATGACATTTGTATTGAACGTCTACAAGTCGTGCATACTCATTTTTGAGAAAATTGAATTCATGTAGTCTGTCTTCTAACTCAACATTACAGGTGATTTGATGTATTTATCTTTCAGTAATGAAGAAGTACAAACTTATTCATATCATCCTTTACTAAAATCAGGTTAAAGTGGTCGTTATTCCTAGTTAAATTTACATGACTATGAAAAGCTATTATTTGTTCTAATTGAAATAATTTTTTACCATAATCTCTTCTCTTTGTTTTTCTCATTAGATTATCTTCCAGTGGTAGCAACGATCAGAGGATACATACATACACGTGTAAACACCCGTTAACTATCTTTATTGTGGTCATTTCTGAACGCCAAGTTGATAGTAAGCCTAATTTTATCAAGAGATTTTTCGGTTCGGTTATTTAAAGGTTATTTTAATTAAAGATATGAACAAACAATGATTTGTGATGGAGAATCATCACGAAATAATAATCATAATATTAAGTACTAGCCAAAAGCTGTGCTTCTTCAGATTAAATTGATCTCCAAGATCTCATCACCATAAGACCATCAAGGTCAGTCAGCAATACTGATTGATGAATGTTGAATAATTTAACTGAGAGGTAATATGTGTTGAGTTCCTACTAGTAATGAATATCATTAGATCAATAAATTGTGTTTTCTATCCGCATACCCGATCAATTATTGTTTTTGAGTGGTAGATGACAATTTTTCAAGAGAATTGGAATACTAATTGCTCTTCATACAGTCGATCTGTCTAGATCTATTAAGAAATAGTTTTCATCATAGAAAGAAATTCTCTGGAGAACCTATTGAAAAGTTAGGGATAATTGACATGTGTTCCATCTTGTTGTTATTGAAAATTCTTTAACAGTGTTTTCTTATGGAACTAATTCAATAACATAAGTCTTACAGTGAGCATCGCATACTTAAACTGCAGTTTCCAGTATTAGTAGATATAGTATGGTCATCATCCGATTTTAACAGTTAGTAGATGCCTCATACGTATCGTGATAAACTTGAAAGTGTACACCCTCGGATAAGTGACATTCGCTAAAATTCATTAATATTACTTTCCTGTCATTCATACTACTGAACTTTTAATTTGTTAATAAAAATCTTTTACTCGTTTCTGCCCAATCAACATTTATAACATTAGCCTCATAGACGAAACAACTACACTTACACAATGTTAAAAAATACATCTTACTGTCCCCCAATTCTATTCTTTTTCTACTTCATGTTATCAGTTTATCCTGAACAAAATAATGATGACATTAGTTTCCTGTAACAAAAACAATGGTCACTATTATTGTTCATATTAGTGACTGATTCAAGCACTGATTACTTTGAATAAGTGAAGGGACAATCAAGTGCTTTCATCACTTTAACACTGCAGATAGGAATTATTGATGATCACTATTGGTATTCACAATTGATTCGCCATTGACGTAGATCATTAAATCGTCCATTAGCATTTTCTGCACAAGCGACTGTCTATAAATCTGGAAGTCTTGGAACTGATATTTGTCATGATATTTTATGTTCACTCATACTGATAGGAAAAAGGTATTCAGTGTTGATATGGTGGAGAAGATTTGTAGCTCAGGTGAATGATTTTGATGGAGTTTCGTTCTCTGAGATGGATGGTTTGGTCGTGGAGCTTTCATCGTTCTTCTGAACGACATCATCAGCACAAATTTCTATCCAGCTCAGAGAACAAAACTCCATCTACTCAGTGTTCCCTAATTTTCATTGGTATACTAACTGAAATCAATTTGTGACGTAAATCATCAACAAATATTGTAAAACTGTTCAGATAAATTCAGCAGGCTAATTTTTAAGGTAATTTAGTTATATGAAGATTTACTTGATCAAGTGAAAAGAAATAACCAATCAACCAGTGAGAAAGTTCGCATATACTCGGCAACAAATTAATCAGCTGAGAAATATTAACTCCTGGATTTCAATCTTGTTTTCTTTGTACAATCCGTATAAAATGATCAAAAGTGGTTGCGTGTACATTGATAAGACTTTATTTTTTTTCGAAATAATTGGAAATTTCCACATGACTGTTAGTTTAAAAAATTTCACGTCATTATAAAGGTACTCTGTTGAACATTACTGAGGTATAAATCCTTATCTACTAAGAATGAAATAGACCACACAATTGTGAAAACAGTGTTCTTATACAATAATTGTTTACTTACTACCCTTTATTTTACATTCAATTAAGAATCAACAATAAAATAGTATCCTAAATTGAAATCAGTGTTAAAATTCTCTTGAAAAAACTGTTATCTACCATGCTATTGAGAACATAGTTCAATGACCGAATGATATTCAATTGTGGTAGACATTGAATACACATATCACTTCTCAATGAAACTATTCAGGATACTTGAGCTAGTCTTTAAATAAATTAAACCACTATTTCGGGTCACTCATACCTCAGCTAAGTCATTTGACGAATTCCTCACTTTGATATTAAAAAGATATGAATTGAAACCTGATTGAGTACGTTGATTCTTTTGATATATTACAAATACATTATTCTGATAGGTTTTAAGGAATCTAAATAGCGATAAACGACATCCTGACACAACTACCTTCAAAACAGTTTATGAAGACATTCTATTTATTTGCTAATGAATTTGTCCTTTGCCTATACAACAATAAAATAAATCAGTGTTTATTTTAGTTATTTCTTAAGACCTTCTTTAATTAAAAGGGAAACATTTATTCAAATAAAAACCACAACACATATCCTATTTTGAATTGAAGTGGTGTTTGTTTCATCATTTCACTTCACAAAACGTATCCATGTTTTGTTGAGAAGTAATCACCTTCAAGTGATTGTAACCTGCTTTGTTTTTCTTGCCAATTCTACAAGTCTCAATGCTTACGCTTGTTTTCTGTCTACTTAATTGAAATTTAAGTAGTATTTTTTTCGAAACATGATAATAAATAAAACATGGGTGGGGATTTTTTTTCTGTCTGAGTTTAATTGCTAGTTTCATTTTTACGTATTTATTCGCTCAATGTCACAAAAGAATAGAGGATAGAAGTTTTAGAATGGGGAAGAGAGAGAATGGTAGCATAAGTTGTCTTCCCTCTTTAGCTTGCAACATTCACCTCTTTTAATTCATCAATTTGTTTTTATTCAAAGAATGTTTCCTTCTTAAGTCTGCAATACTTTTTTACATTGTTTTCTTCTTTTACGAACTGTGTATACTTCAATCGATTTATGAACACTGTGAAATCTATGTGATTTACCATATGTTATCAGGAGTCGATAATTCTCATTGTCTTCACACAATGTGACATATCAACACTAATCAATAAAATCAGTGATCATAACAGTTGAATTAGGATGAATTGAGCTGGGTAGAGTTAAAATAAAAGTGGCAAAAGACTTTTTTTGATGTTGAGAATGAAGACATAAGAGAATCAAGGTATTAGGAATTATTTTATCAAAGTAGCAAATCAGTGTATATGAAAGAAACAAAATTTGGTAGGTTTATCTTTAAGACATTCTGCTTATTGTAAATCGGTGTGATATGAGTGAAGTTTCGAACTTGATAAACTTTTATCATTTTAGTTTGTATCACATGCTTTATAAAGCATAAAAGTATACACCCTTATTTTTAAACTTAAAACTTCATTACACCATGAAACTAAATGGTATTACTGCCAAATATTACGAAAAATGTAAAAGACACTAAGCGTTTATACTGTTGAGAAATGATAGTCACTTTTTTATGACTTTGTAATGGAATTGTAATACGTTTGTCAGAGGAGATTATAACAATCTCGACTGAGTTACACTTGTTTAAGACGAACGAAGCCAAAATAATGGTATGATTTAATGGTTAAAGCATTTAACTTTTACTTCTCACTACCCAATTTAGATCATAAATGAACTTAAACAAGTAAAAATCAGGTTACATTTCGGCCATTGAATTAGTATCCAATTTTCCACATTTCAAACTGTAATTCATTCCATTTACTTATTTTGATTCGGGAAGTTTGATCATTTTTAATTCTTATAGGATAATCGTCCGTTAAACAAAAAAAGTAATTTGTGGGTAATCTGAAATCACATTGAAAGCTTCCCATAATCGATAGCTAAGTTATTCAATTCTGCTTTATCGTAACCAATTAGTACATTTAAAAGATCAAATATCTTAGACATAAATAACATAATAATCTCTAACAGAAACCTCTAGAACTACAACCCCACCCACAACTTTATAAATAGCCACTTGATTTATGTGTGTAAACTAACCGTGAAAGTAAAACTTCTGGTTTTCATTTAGAATTCACTTGGGAAAGTTTCTATGTTTCTAAAAAAACTAGAAAATCTATTGTCCTAAGAGCTCAGGATACTAGAATGATCAGAAACCAATAAGAATCTCATTGGCTAATAGAGAATATCTTGTTGATTAGTACTATCGATGTGAACTTCATTGTCAGTTCAAGTATTTACTGAATAATATCTGAAATAATAAAATAAGATTTAAAAAAACATGGCAAGTATTTGTCAGTATTCAAAATTAATTATATGAAATTAGATTAAGACAATGAGAAGATATAATTTGCTTTGAGAGGGTGTAGAAAATTTGTAGCTCCAGTGGATGATCTTGATGGATTTTTGTTCTCTCTTCGTGGACCTGGATAACAATGGATCGAGTCCGTCAGAGGAAACTGGTCTTTAAAGAAAAACATGACCAAACCATCCAGTTCACAGAACAAAACTCCATCAAGATATAATAGACTTTTATTTATTTGTTTTTATTTTAACACATAGATATTGGTACAAGGAGGCACCAAATATATATGCGCCACACAGATCTCATTTGATATTGTGAGGGTTGTGATATTACCCGGGTGCCCAGACCGAAGCAGGTGGTTATCTTAGGGGGCCACACCCCGAGCCTTCGACCTGAAGGTCTGATCCACAAGGCAGTGGATCAACGTAAGGAGATGCAGTCTTGTGGTAGCCGGTGACCAACGATTGGTTCATACGCCATTTTTTCCTTCAGGATACTGGATCCCATGTGCACCCTTTGTTTGGAATCAGGGTTTTCCAACTCCCCTAGGTGGACTCTCCATGTCCGTCAACCCGGTTAAAGCGCCGGACATTGGCTTTTCTTCTTCTCAATTTCGTAAACAACACCCGAGTCACGAGAAGGTAGTGAGTAGGACTTCCCTGGCAGAGGCTATATACGCGTGGCCATGTGGGGGCATTTCGAGAGGGAGAGCGGACTCCCTCCCACTTTCGGCCATACCAGGGTATTTGGGAGTTATAATATACTTAAACAATCATAAAATTAAATTAATACATACATTATACAACAA